AAGTCTGGTAAATTGATGTCTCCCAGTTTGTTCTTTTTACCTAAGATTGCTTTTGCTATATGGAGTCTTCTCTGCTCCCTATGAAGCATAGAATTATTTTTTCTAGATCTGCAAAAAATTATGTTTGTATTTTAATAGAGATTGTATTGAATTTGTAGATCACTTTGGGTAGTACAGACATTTTAACAATGTTGTTTCTGCCAACCCATTAGCATGGTATGGTTTTCGTCCTGTTTACATCTTCTGCTATTTTCTTCTTCAGTGTTTCATAGTTTTGCCTATATATGTCTCTCACCTCCTTTGTTAAAGATATTCCTAGGCATTTTATTTTCTTCGTTGTTACCGTGAAGGGTATTGAGTCTTTTATTTGGTTATCAGTTTGACTGTTGTTGGCTTATAGAATTGCTACTGATTTCTGTACATTGATTTTGTAACCTGAGACTTTGCTAATTTGTTTCTCAATTCCAGTAGTCTCATGGCAGAATCTTTGTGGTTTTCTAGATATAAGATCATATCATCAGCAGAGAGTAATATTTTGACCTCTTCTGCCCCCATTTGGATGCCCTAGATTTGCTTCTCTTGTCTGATTGCTCTGGCTAGGACTTCTAGCACTATGTTGAATAGAAGCGGTGATAGAAGGCAATTCTGTCTAGTTCCAGTTCTAAGCAGCAATGCCTTCAGTTTTTCCCCATTCAGTATGATGTTTGATGTGTGTTTGTCATATATGACTTTTATTAGTTTCTAGGTAAGTCCTATCTATGCCTATTTTGTTAAACATTCTTATCACAAAAGGGTGCTGAATTTTGGTGAATGTTTTTTCTGCATCTGTTGAGAGGATCATATGGTCTTTGTTTTTTCATTTGGTTTTTAAACATTCAAAGATGTTCTCAAATACAATTAGGAATTTGTTCTTATTAGTACCTATAAACTGATTTAAGAAATATTTAAAAATTATTTTCCTAGTGAGTATATTACTGTTCAAGAGGATTCAGTTAACACAATGCCACATTACCACTTTTGCGGAGATCATTTTTTTGGTCCATCCATATAAGAATTGTTTATGGAATATCTATTTTGTCCCATTTGCTCCAGAAATATTTGCTAAACAAACAGTGTTGAAAAGCAGTTCACGAAAAGTGCATTGTATCATCTGTGTTTCAACATTCTTCTCTGAGTTGATATGAATTTGCAATTTCCCTTTAACTAGAGGGACTCTATGCCCATTCTTTCTCTGATGTCCTGGTATAATTATAAACAAAATCTCCTTTCACTATTAAGACTGTCTTAGATTATGATTATTTGCATGTTGACATTTATGGTAAATAGGTGTGTAACAAATCTGGGAATCACTCATTACTAGCACATAACTATCTATGCCTGAAAAAGAGATTGATGTAAATCTTCAAGGTTCAAACTTAATTAATGTCTTTATTTTCAATTAAAATATATCAGAAATATTTTGTTACCTTTTAGAGAATAAGCAACTAAAAGCCAAGTTAAGGAAAAAAAAAACAACCCATCATTGTCCCTTGTATTTCATTAGGCAAATATGATGCATATACAAAGATTGAAAAATTGCACAAATATTAAAGGGTGAAAATTACCTCCATACTTCTATAGCAGTATTGATTACATTTTCCCTGTTGTGCTTGCACATAAATTCTTTGACATCAACCACCAACCATTTCAACATAAAAGAAAATAACTTGATTTATTGGCAAAGGTAAGAAATTTTCCTATAATAAATTAGGTAGTCTATAGAAATAGGCCTTTCAATCTAAAACAGCCTCCTCATGTAATTATAAAGATGAACAAAGATATATAGTGCATGGTAAATCTAAACCTCTGAATATAATAAAGTGACTTACTTGAGGATATTGTTTGGGGATTTGAATTAGAAAGCTTTAAGGTAGATTTATGCTAAAACACACAGGTAGGTATTAAACACATATTTATTGCAGTAAGCAAAAGTCTTTTTTTCCCAAAAAATAAAGTTCAATATTAAGTAATATCTTTGAAATATAGGCAACATATATTGAGAACTATTTTTTTTTCTGCACACAGTATTTGTAGATCAAGGCACATGTAGCATTAGCATTTCATTTTCATTTTCCACTTTCAGTAACCATTCCATTCCATATGCAGTGATTCAACACTTCCCATGTCTGCTGTGGTCTTCCCTATTGCATTTTCTCATTATCTTGCCAATATTTTTTTGTTCTATACTTTTCTGGATGATTCTCTGATCCCGTCTTTGTATGTTTTGTTTTAACCTCATTCCAATAGGCTCCCATTTGCCTTTTCTCTGCAAAATCAGATTCCTCCTACTGCACTGTGACCATCCTTCTCTCCCATCATTATCCTTTCTACTTCTGGCTTTAAAACGTATTTCTCTTCCTCTCCATACTTCCTCTAGTTTTAAAACAGAAAAAAACTCATCCATATTGTTTAGGGGTGTACAGAAAAAGTGATTAACCTAAAAAGAGAAGCAAGGAAACAATAATGATAAAAGTAAAGATAGACGTTACTTCGTGGGGGTAAACCATAAAAGGGCAATTTCTAGAGGGCCATGTATGTTCTTGTCTTTATCATAGGATAGCTAACGTAGTGTTTTTGCTTCACAACCATTTGTTGAAATTCACATATAATTAGGGTTGCCAGATACAAGGTGGAATACCTAGCAAATGTGAATTTCAGATAAAAATATATATGTGTAGGTGTATGTGTGTATATACAGTATAAATATGCCATATGGAATAATAGTAATTGGAATATATATATATATGTGTGTGTGTGTTTGTGTGTTTGCTTAACACAGTATTTCTGTATGTGTTCCAAATAGTCAAGATACCATGGCTTGATTTACAATTTTTGACTTTGCAGTCATGTGAAAGTGATATGCATTCAGTAGAAACAGTATTTTGAATTTTGATTCGAAATTCTTTGTAACTTCATTACAAAATAGGATTTGTGTTAGATAATTTCTTCCAACTATAGACTAATGTAAGTGTTCTGAGCTTGTTTAAGGTTCAGTAGGTTAGGTATCTTAAATGTATTTTCTTTTTTTTTTTTGGTAATTTTTTATTTGTGTGTGTATATATATATATATATATATGTGTGTGTGTGTGTAGTACAAATGCAATTTTGCTACTTTGCTATATTGCACTGTGGTGAAGTCAAGACCTTCAGTGTATCCACCACTCAAGCAATGCACTAAATGCATTTTTGACTTAAGATATTTTTAAGTTATAATGGGTTTATAGGGATGTAGCCCCATTGTAAGTTTAGGAGCATTTATGTGTGTGTGTGTGTGTGTGTGTGTGTGTGTGTGTGTGTGTGTCTGTGTGCATGTATGTGTGTTCTGTCATGGTTGTTTATCTCAAATTCACATTTAATTGTGTGTGCTGCTTTTAATTTTTATCTGCTAAATCTAACAACCCTAAATGTCAATTGAATGCACTTCCCTGATTATTGTGATGTAAAGAATGTTTAAAATATTAATGAACCTTATAACCACAATCATAAAAGCTAGAATATCAGATGAGCACAAAGAGCTAAAATAAATTATAATGAGACAAATAACAGAGTTTTTAACAACAATGCTGTGAAGAAAATATTTCTATATAATAATGGTTTAATATTATCAAATAGAAACATTTGAAAATATTAAAAAATGGCCAGGGCAAAGCTGTCAAGACCCTTTTCTATCACATTATCAAGTGGTGGCAACATTATTAGTAATAATGACTAATCTACCATATTTAGCAATAGTTACCCTAACCCACATGTTCAACTGGTCACTCAATTCATTATCACATTTTTTTCCAAATAATGAAGTGGAATATTATAGTAGAAACATCATTACCTTTAATGTTTGAAGTCATGGATTACTGACCAAGAACCTCTGTGGGATCTAATCTTTTGATCCTGGTTATTCAGGTTTCCCTTCTGAGTCTCAGTCTCATTTTAAAAATAGAGTAAAGCCACAGTTCTGCTGTGAGGATTAAATAAATAAGTTATATGAAGGACATTTGTAAGTGAAAAAACTCCTAAGTAACATAGGTTGTATACAAATAAAATAGCATTCTTTCGTAGCTTAATTGGTAAATGCACTTATTAATGCATGATAATACAAATCTAAAAAATAATTGACAAAGGAGATCAACCATTAAAATATTCCTTCTTTGATTTTTACAAAGCATCAGAATTTAAAGGGTTTAAAGTTAAAGCTTCTTCCATTTTTTCAGAAACTCAAAATGTCCTGCTCTTTGTGTATCTACCTAGAAGAATTAAATATCTCTAGATAGATCAGTACACTACAATATTTTTCCAATTAAGCCCTCCTTCCTCCCGCCCCCCCAACAGGGTCTCGCTCTGTCACCGGTGCTGGAGTGCAGTGGTCATCATAGCTCACAGCAACCTCAAACTCCTGGGCTGGAGTGATCCTCCTGCCTCAACTTCCCAAGTAGCTGAGACTACAGGCGTGCTCCACCACACGGCTACTTTTTTCTGTTTTTAGTAGAGAGGGGATCTTGCTCTTTCTCAGGTCTCATACTCCTGGCCTCAAGCCATCCTGCCACCTCAGCCTCCCAAAGTGCTAGGATTACAGGCATGAACCACCACGCCTGGCGTTTTTTTCTAGTTAAGATGTCATATTACTTTTCCGCCATCTGTTTCCTTCACTTTAAACACTGAATGGTTATATTGTAAAATGAGTCAAACAAACTGGATTTCTAATCCTAGCAAATGATAATATTATGGTTTCCTACAGAAGATCAGTGATTTACGACGTTTCAAAGGTGTAATCATTTTTTTTTTTTCACTCTTGGAGACATTAAAATACCTCTCTGTGTTATTCAGAGAGTGCAGAGGGAGCTGTGCTGCCACGCACGCCTAACTCTGGAATGTGGTTAATGACAGATTGTAAATTGCTGATGCCAAATCTCCAAGAATGTCCTTCCTTCTTCCTAACCCTTCATCCTCTTTTTATTTTTCTTCAGCAATTGTGGTACTTTTTATCACCCTGAGGCGCAGCAAGAAAGAGCCCTTGATCATTTCAGAGGAGGACGTGCGGGAGAACGTTGTCACCTACGATGACGAGGGAGGGGGAGAGGAAGACACCGAGGCCTTTGACATCACAGCCTTGAGGAACCCTTCTGCTGCCGAGGAGCTCAAGTACCGGAGAGATATCAGACCTGAAGTGAAGCTCACTCCCAGACACCAGACATTGTCCACCCTGGAAAGTATAGATGTTCAGGAATTTATTACGCAGAGACTAGCAGAAGCAGACCTAGACCCTAGCGTCCCGCCTTATGACTCTCTTCAGACTTACGCCTATGAGGGTCAGAGGTCGGAAGCTGGGTCTATCAGCTCGCTGGATTCGGCAACGACACAATCAGATCAGGATTATCACTACCTTGGAGACTGGGGACCCGAGTTTAAAAAGTTAGCTGAACTCTATGGAGAAATAGAATCCGAAAGAACAACTTAGGGGGTCAATTCTTGCAACCTTGTAGAATTTGCTTCCTGAGCAAGTGGAGATATAACCTCAGCAATGACAAGGAAGAAGTGTGAAAACAGTACTTGGGACTGGGCAAGCTGTACACAGCTCCTTTAGAAACAAGTGCCCTTTTCATCATCGAAACTGGGTTATTTCATTGGAAGGAAGTCAAATCTGAACAAACAAACAAAAATACAGAGCAAAAGCTATTGTTCCTTGTGTATATTTTCAATTGCTCAATAAAGTCTGTGGTACTGTTTAATTAAGAATATCTGAATTAAGCCAAACAATGATGTTGTTTTAATATTTTGTGATTTATTTTTCAAAAGCAAAACTGAACAAAAAGGCTCAAGATCACTGATGACTATGATTTATAGGGGTGGTACACTGCAAAAGGAAACTTGCGAAGGTAATCATGACCTCTTTTCCCACTTTTCTGGATGGACCCTTGAGACCACACTCTCTTATTGTGACAGATCCCATTAGCCTTGTCTTGTGTTTAAATCACATAAGGTATTTCCAATATACCAGGCCACTCTGTCATGGACTTGTATGTACCATTTCCCTTTGCCCTCCCCACTTCTTTTCTCCATACAAAACTGATGGAGCATGGGGATTTGCTGCCTGCACTATAATGTATGCAACTTCGGCGCACCCATTGCGCGCTATACTGAGCACGAGACAACTGTCTCAACCCCGTCTGCCCCCTTTATTTTAAACAGGAGATCCCCCTTTTGTAAATGGATTGAAAGAATGGTTTAAAGTTTATTTTGAAAACCTGACATGTCAGGAAATGATTTAATTTTAAAAACATCCACATACCTATCCTGTAGCAAATGTTTGGGAACTTTACTCTTTTTTCCATTTGTTTTAGTACATTTAAATTGGAAATTTTTGTCATTTCTGTACCTAAAATTAGTTGTCAAAAATTTTGCCCATTGCTTTGTACTTCAGCGTAATTGACTTATTTTCATCATAAGTAGTCATCAAAAATATGACACAATAACAATGTAGTCTGAAAAGACTATCCTCCAATTAACACAAACTTCATAGATTCAGGGTTGACTTACCTGTATTCCTCACACAGGTTCAGACTTTCTCCATCTCATGGTCTGATTAGTTCTTACATGCTTAGTATCTTACAGGAGAGAATGTGTAGGACTAGGAGAAAAATACAAAAGAAAGAGGAGAGTCACACTATCCTTCGATATGTCCCCCAAAATCTCTGAGCTTCAGGGTCCAAAACTGCAAAATAGAGATGGCAATGACTTCCCTGCCTACCTCACAGGGTTGTTGTGAGGATTAAATGAGCATCTGTAAAAATGCTTTGCCAACTGCAAAGTATTCTGTTATGTAAAGGCTTGCAGACTCTTATCTAATTTTCTAGTTCCATTAGCTTATAAATATATATTTACATACATTTTGCATAAAATATTATATTATCATTGGAGAAGTTCATGAAACCTTCAAGAGTGAAGCAACTATTTAAATATATAGTATATAAGTCTAATTATTTTAATATTTTCATAAATAAGCTAATTTTCTTAGAATTTCTTGGAGCATTTCTTTTCCAATTTGTTTTAGATAATATTTTATTATTGTTGCTATTGACCTTGAAGTAAGATTTCATAACATAGTGGTCCTACTCTCCAAAGATAACCACATCTATGTATTTCAGGTAAATTGGATTTTTTAAATACATGGTATTAAGAATGATTTGAAGGGGGAGTTTTTCCATTGCTCTTTATATTTACCGTATTCGAGTGTTCCCAAAAGTTACATGACATTTTCTGTCTGATTCTACCCATGTGAAAAAATTTGGGTTTTGCCTCTGTTTGCAACTGCCCTGTGCTATCATATTACAATTTTGAGGTATGGGAAGTAAGTAAGTTTAATTTGAATAATTCTCAATTTGTGTTTTAAGCCTGAGGAATAAAATGTAATTTAAGCTTTTTACAACATTTTAGCTTTCTAGATGCTGCTTTATCATTTTTTATATCATAATGGTGTGCGTTTTGGTGTGAAGCTAAATCAAAAGAGATACCCAGGGGTTTGGGGAATAACCTCTGGTTACACATAATCTGATTATGCTAACTCTGGGCTACATTCACCCAGAAAGGAGGGAAAACCTTGGACAACTTTTGTTGATCCTCATGCTTTGACTTTCCTATGCAAAGAGGACCAGGAACGTCAGGTTCTGCAAGTCCCTTAGGCTTTTGGATTTACGTTTTGAAATAACTATCCATAGCATTTTTTTTTTTTTTTTTTACTATTCATCTGGTAACTTTATAGATGAGGGATTTGAAAGATGAAAATGTGTGTATACATTTAACCATATATGTAAACATCAAGTTCCTCTGCATGGTTCTGAATATTAAAATATTTCTCTGATTTGTGAAACAAAACACTTCAGATCAATCTTATTTTAATTACACATTAAAATGATAATGGATTGCTTCTAAGCTCCTCATATTAAATCTAAATGTGAAGACAAAATGGAGCTTCCATAGTCTGGAAATATGTTTCCTTGTAGATTTTTCAAAAAATTTTGTTAATGAAAGCATTCCAAATACTATTTTTATATGATTCTGAAACTAGGCAATTATATCATTATTATAAATATGGATTGAGTCTCATTATTTTTTATTTTGCCTCTTTGAATCAAAAACACAATAATGACATAAATGCTCTACAAATTGACTGGAGTCATTTAACATTCAATACTTTATTTTAAAATCTCCAGTTTTACCAATGTTAAAAGAAATTTCTCATAGAGTTTAGTGAGCCAAGAATTTGTACATCAACTCTGAGCTTTCACTGGCCACAAAAAATCAGCTATGGAATCACATGGCACTGATGTGTCTCATCACATTTAGTAAGCCTTAGTTGCTATTTATAGACATAAATCAAATACAGCTTTAAAATCAATTCACTTTTTTCTAATAAGATAATTTTCCTTGGACAGGTCCTTTACAAAATAGTGGCTGCTAAGTTAAAGGAAATTTTATTAAAAATAGTATGATAACATTTTTATCCAAGTTGTTTCTTAGCAGAATTTATTAATTACAAATATTCTTTGTTTAAACATTGAGAAATTAATAGGTTTTACAGAAATCACTAGAGGACATATCATCAAAAATTCTTCCTATGACAAATATGTACAAACATGGATTTGAAGAGGAAATTGAGGAGGAAATGATCATTAAAATAAGGATCTATACAGAGTTAAATTGTGATTTTCTTGTAACATAGTAAAAGAAGGTAAATATTCTGAGAGGAATTGCATTCATTCAACCACATAGGTGCACACACTCTCACACACATATCTTCACGAATATTTGGAGAGTAAGAGAATATTCAAAACAGGAATTGGATATTGGTGTGATCTAAATATGTGATGCATATAAAATTCTAATACTCAGCATATGGAAGATTCAGCTAGAAGTTAATGAACATTCGTTGACCTTTATTTTGCACCCAGCTTCCAACTAACCTTCAGGGATGTCAGTTGATTGGACCTCATTCACAGTGAATTTACACAAAAAATAGACAAATTATCAAATAATAACAAATCAAAATTTTAGAAACCAATGACCTAATGGGCAAACTGAAGCTATTATATACTAACAAGTGCTTTGACTTAGATATTTACTCTACTACAATTCAGTTAGAAATCTGGGTAGCAGGAGGATGTGTATTGAGTCTAGTATTCTCAGCAATGCAGAAAACTTGGTATACACTTAGTCATTGTTTCTTTTGTTCTCACAGAGATGTACTCATAAGTTTTATTTGGTGTCTTGTTTTTGGTTTAGCTGAATATATACTTTTGAATACAAAAATTCATGTAGACTCATTTCAGAGTTATCAAGAAGGGCCAATTAACTGAGCAGGGTAATTAACATGCTTGAATCCGATACTTTTGGGGTAAGTCTCTACCTATTAATGTGGACAGTGTTTGATCAGTTATTCAACAAATTGAAAATCTAGAGCTGATTATTCTGGCAAGAGGTAAGAGTTCCATGTTTCAAGCTCAAATTGTGCTTAGCTTCTAGGTATGTTGTTCCATTTATTTACTTGGCTTTCAATGTCAAGAATAGGACAAAACTCAGCACAGTTCTTCGGAGATATGACTCAAATTCAAAGTCTTTTAGGATTAAAGGCAAATTAAATATCATCTGAAGGAAACAAAACCAATTTAACTTTTATTTCCTCTTCATCTGCAGAAGTTAAATCTTATTTTTCAATATAGAATTAGAAATATCATAAACCCTGCAGCCAAAAGTAACTCACAACCATTTGTAGATAAGACTAGCACAAACAGAACCCAGTCATTCTTTCAAAGTTTCCAAATACATAATTTTAAAATAATAATACTAAATGAAACACTTTTTAACACGTTCCTACTCTTTTTAAGACATGTTCCTACACTGACTTGTACCAATGAAAAATGTAGTAAGGCAGTTTTTTTTTTTTTTAATTTTTTTGTTTGTTTTTTTAATAAAGGAAAAGATCAGAGAAAAACAGAACATATTCTTCTTTGAAGCATTGATTAAAAAAAGAAAGAAAAAAGCTCATAGTCTGGTAAGGAATGATTGCATTTATCTACTTTGCTGAGTTTATGGAAATGAAGGATTTTTGTCGTTTAGCACTATGGAGGCATCAAATCTATTTTAGTAATGATTCTTTTTGAAATTCCGAGGTGAAAGTGAATGGAGAAAATGGGCTTTCAAGAGCACTTGAAATTATATCCTGTGAAGAAGGCATGAGATATTTATAGATTACAGTGGGTTCATCAGCTGGTTTTGCCCAGCAATACTAACTTTGGAAATAAGAAAATGGACCATAATAGTTAGTGTCGCCCTAATAATTTTTCTTATGTCAAAAAAGCATCAGATGTTTACTGTGAATCATCTACTGGCATTTTGAAAGTGCTATTTCAAATGCTGTGGTTTTAACCAGAAATCTATATATCCTAATATAATAATTGAGTAAGGTGTTCCAAACATATATGTAAGACTTTATTCCAGGCACAGAAAAGGATATTAAAATATTTTCCTGGTGATATTTGTCATTATCAATAAAATTACAGCCTCATTTGAGAGTTAAGAAAAGTATGTAAGAAGCTATAGACAAAGCAGTATACAGCAAAAAGTGGCAGGTGTTTCAAAA